CAACTTACAGCGACACAGTCCACAGGCTAGGCGTCCCACAGGGAGTGTAGCCTTTAAATTGAGGCACAGAACAAGCAAGGCAGCCGCACACTGGTCCAATGATCAAAGAGTGAGAGACAAGAAAGGTGAGGCTTACCAAGGCATTTATCTCTCTGCCCTTCAGTTAATCCCACTTGTTTATCAGCCAGGCTGGCACACTAAACTATCTCACCTACTATAATGCCACTCTTCAACCTCAATCAACCTGGAGCACTGAAGAGGTTAAGAAGAATATACCTTGTCCAACATGACATGCTTAAAGCCAGATAGGACTAGGAAAAATCAGCAAATGATTAGATTCAGCTATATGAAGATACTAGGTGTTTTTGAAAATCGTTTTATTAGGGGCTCATATAACTTTTATCACAATCCATACATCAATTGTGTAAAGCACATTTGTACATTCATTGCCCTCATCATTCTCAAAACATTTGCTCTCCACCTAAGCCCCCGCATCAGGTCCTCATTTTTTCCCCTCCCTCCCCGCTGCACATCCCTCATGAACCCTTGATAATTTATAAATTATTATTTTGTCATATCTTGCCCTGCCCGACGTCTCCCTTCACCCACTTTTCTGCTGTCCGTCCCCCAGGGAGGAGGTCACATGTAGTTCCTTGTAATCGGTTTCCCTTTCCAACCCACCCTCCCAGTATCTTCACTCTCACCACTGGTCCTGAAGGGATCATCCGCCCTGGATTCCCTGTGTTTCCAGTTCGTATCTGTACCAGTCTACATCCTCTGGTCTAGCCAGACTTGTAAGGTAGAATTGGGATCATGGATAATAGGGGAGGAGGAAGCATTTAGGAACTAGAGGAAAGTTGTATGCTTCATCATTGCTACATCGCACCCTGACTGGCTTGTCTCTTCCCCGAGACCCTTCTATGTCCAGTGGCCTACAAATGGGCTTTGGGTCTCCACTCCGCACTCCCCTCCCTCATTCACTATGATATGATTTTTTGTTCTGATGATGCCTGATACCTGATCCCTTTGACATCTTGTGATCGCGCAGGCTGGTGTGCTTCTTCCATGTGAGCCCCAATATTTTTTTACCCAATATGAAGAGGACAAAGTTCCTACCTTCTGGACTTCTCTCTGGTAGAGATTGTGAACCAATGACCTTATCTTAACCTGAACCAACTTCTAGTCCAATGGACTAAAACCAAAATGATAAGTAGTTATTTAAAAAAAAAAGATGTTACAGTCATACCTCCTCATTGGGCGTCACAAGGGGCAGAGAGAGTCAAGGTGAACACCAGGCCAAATTGATTATGAGGTGGAGGTCAAACATACCTCCGCCCTCTAACTTTTTCACCAACCCTGACATCAGCTGTTCTCCTATTGCATTCTCTGCTTGGTTTGATACTTCATTGCAATGGCCACACAGAACTCACCAAATACAAAACCAAACCGACTCAGAGCAACCCTACAGAACAGACAGAATTGCCCCTGTGGTTTCTCAGCCTGCAAATCTAAATTTATAGGAGCAGAAAGCCTCAAATTTCTCTCACAGAGGGGCTGGTGGTTTTAAACTACTAATCTTATGCTTAGCAGCCCAACTCATAAGCCACTGTGCTACTGGGGACCCCTGAACTCATCGACAGTACTCCTAATTATAGGGTTTATTATGGAATCCCAGGGACGGCAGATTATAACGAGAGATCAAGATCAGGAAGCATGCAGGCAAAGTCTCCCTTCTTCAGGTCAGGGCAGCTCTCTCAGCTCCCCTTGGCTATGTAGGGCTCCTGAGGACAGGCCTCTTCTCTTGGCTTCAGTTTGCTCTCTGCAGCACTGAATGCTCTTTTAGCTCTGCAAAGTACCCAGAAGCACCCCACTCTGCCAGCAAGCCTCCTGGCCAAAGGCTCTCAGCTTACCTAGAGTGTCCTTGCTTCGTAGGGGGCCGGTGGGAGGGGGAAAGCTTATTGTGCTATCTTGTGCTTGTCTCCTGACTCAACCTCCTGTTTCTCTGTCATGGTTGCCAGCACTTCCTGCCATCTCATACCTTCTCTAGTGTTACAACTGTCCCATTAGATAAGGAGGTTCTCAGCACAAAGACCCCCCCCCCCTCGGGTCCAAAGGATGTGCTGCACTCACAGCTCTTCTTTCTAATTGATAGTGGAGTCCTCTCTTTCCATCTCTTTGATGGGTGACTTTAAGTCTAGCTGGGATAGAAAAACTGACTAATCCAGTCATGGGTTTCATACACCTAATTTACATGGTCCCACCCCCACAAGGGCTCTTTGTACCTTATTTACATGGTTAACATATTGTCCAACCCCACTGGTGGGTCACAAACACCTTATTTACATAGTCCCACCTAATCACTATCTGGGCCAGGGAGATCACAGGTGCCCCAAAAGGCCGTATTAATTTCCTACAATACAGTAAGTTCCCAGTCCTTAAAGACAGTGAAACCAGATGGGAAACGAGATGGGTAAGTAAAATGAAACAAACACGACAATTCCAGAAAGGGATACGTGCTCTACGGAAGATAAAATACAACCCGAGTACGGAAACGGTGTTGTCCTTTAACGAGGTGGGTTGGGGAGAAGTCTATCTGATCAGGTCCAAGGCGGAGCAGGACGTCAAGGGGAATGCTCCCGCCAAAGTGTGTGCCGCATCGTAATTTGCTTTGTATGATTCATGTACGAAAAAAGCATGCATCTGCACTAAAAGTAGAGGCCAGCTTCTGGAAGCGGAGTGAGAAGAGGCAGGACGAAGATCCAAGTCTGAATCGGAACCGTTTGGGGGAACGCGCCGGGAATGGGAAGCCATCTGAGTAGTGGAGGAGGGTGAAAGTGAAAGCACCGTACGAGACAGGAGGGAAATTCCGCAATCAGCTACAATTCCACCTTCTCTTCGGTTAGGGCCTCTCCACCCTCCTCCTCACGTCCGAGCCTCGCTGTCACCGCCTGGGGTCCAGCCTGCGGCCCGCCCACCCCAATCCCCAGCCTGGGCGCCGTGGCCCGCTCTCGCCCCGCCCCCCGGGCGCACCTCAGCGTCCTCGGCCGCCCCGCCCCCCTGCGCACTTCCGCGTCCTCGGAAGCCCCGCCCACCGGGCGCACTGCCCCGCCCCCGGGTGGTTCTACGCACGCGCGGAGGCCATCTTTCGCAGCGGGTACTCCGGCAGCGGCGGCGGCTTTTTTACCCCGAGAGTAGCGCGCTCCGTTCGGCTCTTTCCTCTTCAGCGTCTTCACGCCGGTGAGTGCTTGCCCCCTGGGGGCCTGTGGAAGCCTGGCCGCTCTCTCCACGGGCGGGGGTCGTGAGTGTCGAGACAGGCTTCGTCCCGGCCTGTTGCCACTGCCGAGGCACCGCGGGCACGATGACTCTGCACCGCCCTCGGGACCGACCGGCTGCCGGCACTTGGCTCCCACCGGCCACCGTCGTGCCCCTGCGCGGAGCCTGGACCACTGGGGTCGGCCCGGGGTTGCATCCAGGGCTGCTTCCGCCTTGTGAGCCCTGCGTGGGGAAAATGAGCGTTTCTGGAGGTGCTGGTGGAGATACAGCCCTCCTGTGCCCGGCGTCGGGCGTGGGAATCCAGAAAGTTGTGTTTGCACGCGAATCAGAAACCTTCATCAGGGCTCCCCTAATCTGTGCTTTCCCGCATATCTGCCCAGGGTTACCCTTAACCTTTCACCTGCCTGCTGTAGTACCCCAAACTGGTTACTCTGCTGGACTGCTCTCACCACCTGTCCGACTGAGTGCCAGAGGGCGCATCTAGCTGTTCCTCTGACTCCTAGTCGGTGGGACTTCGCTGCCTATTGGATAAAACTCCAAAGTTTTTACCTACACATATGGGCCACCTGTAACTTCATTTATTCCTGCTTAGAGGCCAGTTTAATTCTCTGTGTTCCAGGGATTTAGAGATAAGGGCTTTGGAGAGTGAGATTCAGCTTTCAAACGAAGCCCTGGTACCCCCCTTTTCAGGAGTAGTGATGTTGATGGGGAAGATTCCCTTCATGCCTCAGGTCTAGATATCACTCCGCAGAAAGCCTAAGCCGCTTCAGAGCTCTGCATAATTGGAACATTTTCTCCTTCTGTACTTTCTCCCCTCTCGTATGTGTGTGTATGTAATAACTGAAGACTAATTTCCTATGTCCGTTTTTCTCAAAGTCTCTGGTTTTCTCGGTCTCTTTTGTTGCCCCATCTCTCAGGCTGCTTTGTAGTTCATTGTCGGAGTCTGCCTCCCTTACTGGACTACCATCCTGCCAGCCCTTTCAGGCAGGGATTTCTGTTCCCCACCTGGTGTTTCCATACCTAGCGCATTGCTTGACACTTCCCTCGGGCACAGTAAACCTGAGTTGAACGAGGGGAGCAAAGAATTTTTTCCCCCCAAGTCAGAAAATGCTTTTTAAATTGTCAAGTTTCATTCTAATCATGATCCCATTTTCTTTTTACAGGAATTATATAGAAAACAGGAAGCATGGTGAGTTAAATAAACATTGCAGTAAAGCTGTTGTGTGAGAAATACAGCCACACCTCCCAGATGTTGCAAGTTTGACTTCAGGCAACTGCATTAAAGCGAATATTGCAATAAAGCAAGTCACAGAAAAATTTTTGAATTCCCAGTGCATGTAATAGTTACATTTACACTATACTGTAGCCTGTGTAGTAGCATTACAAAAAAGTTTGTAATGTGAGCATGGCCAAACTGTGGCAACAGAGACATGAAGTGAGCACATGCTATTGAAAAATGTCATGGATAGACTTTGGGTTAGCCTCAACCTTTGCATTTTTTGTTGTTTCTAAAAGGGAGTATCTGCGGTGCTCAGATTGGGGCTGGGGGCAGCGGTAGTAGCCTGTAGCACTGTTTGTAACTCAAAGGACAGGCTTGTGTGAGCAAATTGAAATGAAGGGGGAAAAAAAAGGCTGGTGACTTCTCCGTGTTTTCTCACACACTGTGTATCGGGGCTGCGGGGGGCTTGTGTTACGTTCTGAGAATAAGAACCTCCTGTATGTTCTTCCTTGGCAGTCTCGAAGATATGACTCGAGGACCACAATATTTTCTCCAGAAGGTAAATAGACATTGTTCAGCCTTTGTTCACTTTAAGGGTTAGACTTTTAGCGAGGTGGGAGGGCGGGGAATCGGTGAACTTTCTTTTTGCACTCGCTACGTGGTTCATTCTTCTTGTACTTGGAATTCAGTCTGGTCATCAGGTTGCTCGTATGCCCTGCCCTTGCATTGCTGTTGTCGGTGATTTCTCTGGGGCCTGTTAATTCCCAGTGGGCACAGAGTCCTAGTTTCTTATCTTTGTTTCATGCAGGTCGCCTGTACCAAGTTGAATATGCCATGGAAGCAATTGGACACGCGGGCACCTGTCTGGGAATTTTAGCAAACGATGGTGTTCTGCTTGCAGCAGAGAGACGGAACATCCACAAGCTTCTTGATGAAGTCTTTTTTTCCGAGAAGATTTATAAACTCAACGAGTAAGTGAGACCCTGGGAAAGAGAGTCGTAAAGCACCGCCTGCTCTTACCTAAGGACCAGGTGTTCATGTCAAGTTCAGGGCTAAGCACTTAGTCGAGAAAGAGCACTGCGTAGTTCACAGGCTTAGGCAGATCTGGGCTGTGCCATCTTCTACTAATTATTAACTTTGCCGAGCCTCCTGGAGAGGTGCTGACGGTTTAAAATAAAATCAGGGCAGAGCACTCAGTCCAGTGTCTGGCAGGCCTGCAAAGCAGGACATTATCCCGCTTCATTCTGGTCCAATCCCTGCTGAGAATTTGTCCTTTCAGCCAAGATAATACTGAATCAGAATATGCATTTTACAACACCCTCCCCTCCCGTATTCTTTTTTTTGTTTGTTTGTTTTTTTTTTTCTTAACATTTTATTAGGGGCTCATACAACTGTTATCCCAATCCATACACACATCAATTGTGTAAAGTGCATTTGTACAT